TCATTTCCCTCGCTGATCCCTCGCTGATCTGCGAGGGAAAAATTCCCTCGTTGATAGTCGTCGCTGATACCTGGTTTTCTAGTAGTGATATTCAAAAATAAAAACATTATCGTTTTCTTAAAATCACATAAAACTGTATTATAACATCGACCTCGACAAAAAAACAAAACATTAAAATTAAGACGTATCTCGTTGCATTGTGCAAGTAGCTTTATAGTTTAATAAAATTCTAATGAAAAACGTTAACAAAATATCATACTAATTTCAAAAGAATCATCAACACATAATTTCAAGACTCTTTCTATAACAATCAATCATTAAGTATTAATTAATCGAATCAAATATGATTATCCAAAAAAACCAACTATAATTAACATATTCACATTTTCTCGAGGATTTTTTGACATTTTATCGTTCCCGGAAAATCAAGAAACTTGCAATCAATGAGTTTTAATCGTTCCATTTCATCCATCACTTTGAACCCAAACGATTCCTTCCAAGTCCTCACCATTTCGGGAACCGCCGGCAAAACAAGCCTCTCCACTCCCAACTCTTTCATTATCCTTTCGATCTCATCCATCAAAATCCGGCACATCCCCATTTTCCGGTACCGGAATCTTGTGGCAACAAGTGGAATCTCTGCCGCTTTACAACCGTGAACCCGCACTGCAACCACCGTAATCATCTCTTCATCTCTCTCCAGTACCGCCGTAAAAAACCCATTAAAATTCGACCTTTCTGAAGATCTACTAAAGATGACATGTTCGACCACATCACCATCGGACCTCGGATGTTTCAAGGGTTTGAAACATTCATGCATCACGTTTAACGCAACGTTCAGTTTGCTGTAAGTTTCTGTACATAAATTCTTGTCGTGTTCATCGTTATCAAGCTTCAGTAAGCTCCAACTCAGGTTAGCCACAGTTGACGAAATCGATTTTCCGGCGATCCCTATTAGGCCGGAAAATATCCGTTCACATTTCTCCGAACAGAACCAGTTAACAGTATCAGAAGTGACCAAAACCCCTTTTTTTCTCAGGCAATCAGTATGGAAGTAGTGCGCGCATTGTTTACACTTAATCTGGCTATCTTCATTAGTGAATAAACTAATCTGATCTTCAAGACAAATCTGACAACAACAAGAAGGGCAAAACCAGTAATCTGAATCAGGAACTCCATTCAATCCAATGCAAGATGCGTGGAAAGAAGATGTACATGAATCGCATAACAACAATTCGCCACCATCGTTGCAGAACGAGCAGAAATCATCTTGGCCGGTCTCACGATCACACGATTTTGTTGATTTTGGTTCGTTTTCGTGTGTTAACTGAGTTTGGCAATCGAGAAGAGACCTTCCATCGTCTAAAAATATGTTGGCTGCTGGTCTACGATATGTACTTCCAGCATGAGCTTCGAATTTACTTAGCAAAAAGAACTCACCACAACAATCACACTGAATACCATCTTCGTAAGCTCGCCCTTCCGCCATCACTCGACCGTCTTTTCTGCTACGATACGCCACTTTCGAACCCTGGAACACGATCTTACGTTCGATTAGCATCGAAAGTACGCACCTCCTGCGAGTAGACAAATCTGCCATCTTTCGTATCTGTTTCTTGGGCTTAAACTCATTCTTTTTCTTGCCGGAATATTCCATCAATCGCTTAATCTTTTTTCCAGGCCGATCACTCAGAAAACCAGCACTTTTGTCATCTTCGACGATACCCACATCGTCATTACTATCCACACCAGATTCTTCTCTTTTTCGATCGAAATAAGAGGCTTCCACATCTTGAATTCGAATCCTTTTCCGGGGCCGATGAGTTTTCTGCTCCGTAAATATTTCAATCTGGGAACTACCTGATCCAAGATCATGATCATCTCGAATTCGAATCCTTTTCTGGGGCAGACTGTTACTCAAATCGTCGTGTTTCTCTACTTTGGTTTTCTTTTCCGTAAAGATTTCAGTCTTGGAACAACCCAAATCAAGATCATGATCATCTTCAATTTGAATCCTTTTCTGGGGCCGACTCGTTCTCAAGAACTCATCGTTCTTCTCTAATTTCGTTTTCTTTTCCGTAAAGCTTTCAGTCTTGGAACAACACGAATCAAGATCATGATCATCTTGATGGTGGTCAATGTGATCTTGACATGCTGATCGAAGAGAACAATAAGTTTTACCCGCCGGAGAACGGTACCGGAGTTCTCGACGGCCGGGTTTCTTACAGATGTAGAAGAAAGACCAACCAATTGCAGAGAGATGCTTTTTGGCTTTCAATATCAAATCTTTGTTAGTTTTGCTTCTGCCTACTTGAACGCCACATGAATAGTAATTCATTACGGCTTCTGGGATGTATTCTGGCTCATACTCAACGAACTCCATTGAAAGATTGAAAGCAGGGTGGAGGGTTGGGATAAAGCATGGTTCTAGGAGACGATTAGGGTTCAATGGATTGCCACTGTTAGGGTTTATGAAGGAGATATAAGTGAATATTCGATATGAACCCATAAATTTTTGAAAGTCCATTCTAAGTCCCTCAAATTTTCAATAGTTCACATAATAGTCCTCCAACATTAGCATGGTACTTAATGATACCTGGGATACCGTTAAAATCCAACGACTTAGGGGTTGTTTGTTTACCTCTTAATAGTCCAATTAAAAGGCAGTATCTGAATCGTTAAGAAGTAAATGGTTCTAAAACCCTCTGAATGATTTTGTATCATAGGCATCCCTTAACCATTCAACGCCCTAATTTCATTATAAACAATTACCAAACAATTATATTTCATTTTGTACTATATCATGAGAGTCTCTTAATCATTTTGCACCAAATCATTCAGCAATTACCAAACAGTCCCTTAATGATGTAACTCTCATGTCATTGTTGGAGGAGAAAATTGTGATATTTCAAAGACAGGTGGATGATGTCCGGATTCAAAAATAAGGTCGTACCTATTATTGGTAGGATTATTTATCCCTATAATAAAATCTAAATATATTCATCGAATAATAATATCTGGTTTTAAAGAAAAAAAGTTGTCATAAACTGCCTTAAATATTGAGATTTTTTTTCTCCATTTAAAAAAATAGATTGGAACTCAATTTGGTTGCAAAATCATAAACTTTCAAATTATAACAATTAAATAATCTATATACTATAAATTATGTTGTAATTAATTTAGCATAAATAGGGGGCATAACCGAAATCTTGCATTCATGTGTCTTCTTATAAATTCATCAATTAACATTGTTTTAAATATTAGTTTTTACATAATGGTCAGGGTTTTTTATCCACTCCTAACAAAATACATGCCTACACTTTTACATGCAAATTTGATTAACATATATATATATATATATATATATATATATATAATGTTTTAAACGTTTATACAACCAATGTAATCTAATCAATTAAGATATTTATAGAAATGGTGAGAGTTCATTTATTATGATTTGAATATTTATGAAAGATAACTAAAGTTCATTAATTATGATCAATACTTTATATTAGAAAATACTCTAAACTTTTATGAAATCACATATCCAACAAATTAAATTGATGGTTGAGATTGAGTTGTATTAGTTGTACAAATGTAAATGGTTGCATAATAACTCACAACTCTCTCTCTCTCTCTCTCTCTCTATATATATATATATATATATATTCGGTTAGATTCCGCTAAGAAAAAAAAAAATGATGGAAAGCGAGATGCATCAAGATCAATCCTAACTAAATGTCAACAATAATGAGATGCACTCTGATAAATTATCTTCTGAAACGCCGTTTATGAGTGAGCATGAGAGTAAAAGTAATCAAGACTTCATATATCTTTTTACACTTCTCATCATAACTTGTCTTCTCATACACTCCTTTTACATGTATATATATATACACGTATGTATATCTATTTTTTACTTTGTTTGATTACACAAATTTACAAATGAATTGTCAATTATGTCTAAATAGTGATCATGCCCTCCTAATCATATGAATTGCAAATATCTTTTTATTAAACTTTAATCAAATTAGTTAAAATAAAGAGTAATCTACAAATTTGGTCCATGTTGTTTGTTGGAAATAACACTTTTTGTTCATATAGTTTCAAAATTACGAAATGATTATTGTGGTTAGAGATAGACATGACACGACCTGGCCTGGGACTGAGATCAGCTTAGGACTGGATGAGGACCGATTGGGACCAATAAGGACTAATTATGGATCGACGACATGAGTTCGGTTACCAAAAAACTTCAAAAAAATTCATAGTTTTTAAAGTTCTTTTTGAAGTTTTTTCTAAGTGTTTCAATACTAAATTTTAAAAATCGTAATTATAAAAACATGTATGATATTTTTGTAGAAAAAAGATTTAAAATGTATTTTAATGACTCAATTAAAGATTTTAAATATTGTCCAAAAACAATTTTCAAATACGAATTTTTATATGTTCAAATTGATTTTTGGAAGAAAAAAAAGTTGGGACCAATTTGAGGCTGGTCCGGTTACAATAGAAAAATCTTGGAACGGGATCGATTTAGGCTTGTCCAGGTCCAACCTAAGACCGTGCTTTAGCCATCTCCAATTTTGGTTTGCAAAGACGCATATACTATGGTCCCTTCCTCTTATGACTTTAAAAAAAAAATATGTAGAAACACATTTTTTAATCGATTTTATGATTTTAATCCATTGGGATTTTGATTGGGTACAAGATAAAAAAAATCATTAAAATGACCAAAATATCTCTTCTATAACGAAATATGTAAATAAAGTGTTGTGGTTCAGATGAACCAACTCTAATAGTTACATTAAGAGGCAGTCTCTGAATATTTAAGAGGTGAATCTTGTTTGGCAAAAAAAAAGTCTGCCTTTTAATGGTTCTAAAACCCTCTGAATGATTTTGTATCATAAGTCTCCCTTAACCATTCAACACCCTAATTCCATTGTAAACAATTATCGAACAATTATATTTTATTTTGCACTATATCATAAGAGCCTCTTAATCATTCTGACTACTTAATCATTTTGCACTAAACCATTCAACAACTGTCAAACAGCCCCTATATGCCAACTTAAGGGGAAAATATGAGAGAAGAATTTGATTACGTCATTCATAATTTATGTTTTAAAAACAAGCATAAATAATATAATTGATACCATACTAAAAATCTATATTATGTTATAAAGTATTTGAAAAAATCTTTTAAAAACAATTTTTTATGTATAAAATATTGTTTATTGATACATATTACTTAAAATTTAAGATTACAAGTAGAATGTGCATAAATACATCTTATTAAAGCTCCAGGTTTAAATTCGTATAACTAATTGTTGATAAACATAATAAAATACTTGATAAACATCATTTTGAATATGTATAATTAAGATAATAAGTTCTAACAAAATATTTAATTACTATTTTAAAAAAAAATATTTTATTAAAACCAAAAATAAATTGTTTGTTTTAGACTTCATTAAATTATAATACAAAATTAAATTAAAGAAATTATATAAAAAAAAACTTTTAAATAATTAATTCGATACTATTATTGTTTATTTTTTTTAAAATTTTATAATATTTTTAAATTCATATTTCATTCAAAAATGAAAACATTTTCTTTTTTCTCAAAAGCACATGAAATCGCATTATAACTTTGATAAAGCCAAAATATAAAACAAAACATTAAAATTAAGATATATCTCGTTGTAAGTACATTTTTAGTATAAATAAATATATATTTTTTAATCTTTATGTAATCTTTTTTTATGAAGATTTATTTTCACCATCTTGAATCGGAATTAGACAAATCTTCCCATATTTCCATTTTTGCCCCGCATTCTTTCGTTTTCAACAAGTCTTCATTCCTCGTCACCACCGGCGGCCTTCTTCTCGCCGGCACAGCAGCAGGTACCACCTCTATGGATTTCACTTCTTATATCTCTTTTTTCGTTCTTTTAGTCACAAAACGCACACACAGAGCTTAGAATTGCACGAACAGATTGATTGGATTAGTATTTTTGATATCAAATTAGGGATTTTTGAGGAACGCAACAATTTCACTGCAATTGATACTTTTATGAGGTTAGATCTTCCCTTTGAAGTCACATGATTCGAAGCTTTATAAATTGGTAAATGGTGAGATTGGTCTTTAGTATTGATCAGATAGATTAAATGTATGTGAAAAACCTTGCAATTTATCATTTTAAATAAGTGGTGAGTGGGTTGACTTTTGGGTGGCCTGTTGTGTGATTTTTTTTTTCCGATCCCTTTCTTTTTGTCGTATGAATGAGATTGATTCCAGTTTGTTTCCAATTTGGCATGCAATAGTTCGATAGAGTGAGCTCCTTGGGAGTTTTGTTAACATATTCAGATCATGTCAAGAGGATCCATGTTCTTTGTTTATGTGAATCAATGCATTCACGATTCCCTCCTCTTGCTGTTATATAAATAAGAAAATACCTGCAGAGAATTTTATTTTGACTGTTTCTTCCATTGCCCCTATATTATCTTATGTTTTGGATGTGTGTTCATGTTAGCTGCCAAAAAGAATACAGGTGGCAGAGAATAAGGATCAAAGGTCACTAATGCCGAGGGTTACCACATTGTTGCTAAAGGGTAAGAGGGCTTTGCAAGATCTAGAACTGCTCAAAGTCTTGCAATCAGAGATCAGACATGAGCTCTCTAATGATCCTTACAAGGTACAACTGTTTCTATTCCCAATTCTTATTCACATATGTCGTAAACTAGTTTCTGCAATGAATTGAATTGGATTTTCAATGATTCTATTCTACTGTTCGTAATAACCTCTGGGATATGCTGTTCTTAATTGGCTTCTTAATTGACATAAAGCACTGCACTCTGATGACTACCTATTTTCACTACTTGTAGAGATCATTAATTCTTGATTGATTGAAGATTTATGATTGTTTGACTCATACATATATAAGATATTATAAAAAATTATTGAAAAATTCTATGCATTTTGTTAATTGCTATTGATATATGTTGCATTTTATGACGTATAGCTGAGTGCTAGTGTGCCACCATGTCAACAAGTGCACTTCCTATCATAATCAACATCCATAGCACTACAGTGTGGAGAAATCTTAGCTAAGTCCTAGTTTGCCACAATTGTGGAAAGCAAATGATCTCAACTCTAAAATAGGGTTGCTGGATTACACTAATATTGTTCTATGTACTCCGTAAATTATTTAACAAGTATAAGGCTTCAATTGAACATGTATTATATGGGGCTATTCACATTGTTGGGTAGTTGTGATTGAAATAGTAGTATGTAAAAATTATCGGGAGCGGTTAGAACACCAACATCGTGAAGCTCTGCTTGTTTATATCATTTTTATCTTTTCATTTGTAGTTTTTTTGAAATTCCTTAGACCGTTGGTCAGTTACATGCACTGTCGTATCTGAAAAGTGCTAGTAGCCTATCTATTTCATACTTAAGGTTACAAAAGCAGGAAAATGAAATGGTGGTGGAAGTATAGACCTTAACTTGCATCTTTGTTCCTTGGAGCCCAAAGTAGGTGACCCCGTAGGCCCATACCTCAAAATTTTCTGGACTTGTAGAAAGACCTTAACTATTAAGGGTTAATCGAAGAAAATAGAGAATGCTACTAAAGTAATTTCCTGCATTTTCCCATGTGGGATGGAGGAGAAGAAAATAGAACTCGATTATGAGAGAAAACTGATCTTGAGAGAGATAGAGAGAGAGAGAAGGAGAATGTAGAGAACTGGTTTAAAACTATATTTCTGCAGGTTGAGCCATTCAAGATAAGGTTCACCCATCGTGTGGATACTAGGTACCAAATATCACTTTATTTAACTTCTATAAAAATTGATTAGAGTATGGATGGTCGTGGTCTGGTGGTGCCACACCATAATGGCAAGCTTTGGTTACCACAAGGAATTCTTGTTATATGCATATGTGCACGCCAAAAATTTAATTTAGGAATTTATCAGTTTAAAGAGGAGATAAACCCATCAATGAACTATTAGGAATCTTTGAATAACTAACGATATGCTTGCACATTATCTGTAATTGTCGTATGGGGTGTCATGCATGCAGAACTGGCTCTTTTCAAGATGGAAACTAATTAATGCATTCATTCGCCACCATGGATATGAATTCAGAATGAAACTGGATCTTTGGGAGATTTTGTGATGGATTGGGATTCACCACATTCCAAAGACGTAATCATGCGGAAAAATTGTGGGTCTGATGAGGAGCTTGCTATTTCTGCATTGCTAGGCGAGGAAACCTTTCTAGGAGATGATTGTTATCCCAAGGAAGCTGAGATGAAGGTATGCATCAAGAAGGCTGGATTGAGCTCTATACTACAATTTGATTGCAAAGTTCTAGACAATGGTCAAGATAAAATTGACTTCCATATTCAGAATGCCTATTATCTGAAATCACCTACCAATTTGGGCTCTTCAGCATACAGAGGACCTGTGTTCTGGTACATTTCTGTTGCTTTCATGTAAAAATTTCGTTTAACTTCTTTTGTGGTTGTACAATGGCAAAATAGATGAAAATATCATTGCACTTTTCCAATTACATGCTTATACTGTCATAATTCTATCAATTACATCATTTTTGTCTAAAATCATATTATGTAACATAAATTATCAATTAATGGTTGGGATTTTGAGATTATCTCTATTAGTTTATTCTTTGATTCGTCCTCATTCCCAAATTGACTATTAATGTTAGATAATTTGATTCAATCAGATGAAAATGATATAATTGACATGCCTGTGAAAGTATGAGTATGCCATTGACTAAAAAAATGTTCAAATGTATGTAACATTTAAAAAAAAGTGGAAGTAAAATAATGTTTTTATCTAGCTTCCTTTTTATAATTTATTGTTTCACAATGTCCCATGCCAACATAGTATATAGTCAATAGTCTATTTTCCTAGAACAAGAAATGCCAAGGATTATGTGATGCTATTTCTTTCTTCTCTTCTACATCTTTTCTTCGCTGTTAAAACCTGTGCTACCTCTTTACCTTTCTCACTTATTTGATGGTGATTGTTCCGACTTAATGTGTGACTGTTAGGTTAGCATCAGTTCCTTGCGGCATTCAAGCTAGTCATTATTTCTCAGTCTGGAATTGTGCATTGTCAAGTGTTTTAATAGCTAAAATCACAACCTCATTTCTTCTCACTTGAAATCATCAGTGATAGCTCAAATTTCATGTAATCCATAAAGTTCAGATACTTGTGCTCCTTTCAAACCCTTAAAACCTTGCTTACTGAGCATACTGAGAAGGAATTAGCTTAGTGATTTCCCTCTAAACTTGTAAACACAGACACATGTGAAAACAATGTATATGTATATTCATAGGCTACTTTCAGTCTTGTAAACCAAACCAAACGTATCCAGTATATCCCGCTTGCGAATTTTTTTGAAGAGAAACAGGAGCACATGAAAAGAGAAGTGTGCAAACATGCAAAAAGAAGACAGTGAACAGAGTCAGCAGTTGGGCTAAAAGTGAGAAAAATGTCTCAGAACCAGCTAGGTGAAAAGAGAGAGTTTCATCTCTTTTTCACTAAATGACCCTTGCATATGCCAATTCTTTATTCCATGAACTCATGGTCAATTGTTTAAAGTTACGATTAAAGATGCATGGGATGTACAGCTTGTCGTGCCCCCATAGAATTACACCCAGAAAATCTGATACGGGTATTCAATAAGTGAAAGAAGCACCCCTCCTTCCTAGACACATGTAGATTATGGAGAAAACTAGAGTGCCAAACTTGGCATTTTAGATCTTACAATTTCCTACTCAACTCAAGATATGCAATTCTTATCTTAGGAATTGCTACACACCTAGACCCACAGCAAGGTTGATATTTTTCTACCGTTTGTCTATTAATCACCTTTGGTAACTCACTAGGTACCAATAATCCAATTGCTACACGGTCAAGGAGGTTGTAAAGCCAATTTGGTGGTTTTGATGGACCAGATGCATATTAAGGCCATTTTCGTACTTTCTAGAGCCTTCAAATCCACATTCCTTGTTTTTGGTGATTTGACAAAACATCCCTTCACACTAAAGAGCTACATAAAGTTTTGTGGTTCTGCCAGTTATGTAATCAATACTTAGAGGTCCAATCATGCCATGTTTAACGATATTTTACTGGTTAGATGTTTATCCAATCCTATGCTGTTAAAATCGCGATATATCGGACATCGGACGTGGGGAAAAAACCGCTGGTGAAATATTGGTCAAAATATCGGTCCTGATATTTACCGATATTTTGAAGCAAAAACTCGGTCTGATATACCAATTTCTCTATAAGACAAATATTTGGGTTTTTCTATCATTCTATGTCGGGCTTAGTTTTTTGGGCTCTTTATTTGGTCTCAACTCTCAGGCTTCTTCAGTTCACAGTTCACGCTCACAGTCTCCTTCATCTTCACGCTCACGGTCTGGCTTCTTTTCTTTTCATCTTCACGCTCACAGTCTACTTACCAAGTTGATACAGCCACAGCAGCAACCGACAGCGACTGTGTTGAATGTTGATACAGCCATAGGTCTTAAACAGTTCCTCAACCAGCACTCCAGCAGCAACTGTTAATCTTGAGTGTTGATAATTGATACAACCATACAGGTCCTTGTCCTCTCCTCGTCCTCAACACAGCCTCCTGGCTCCTCGTGACTCCCTGAACTCAACCTCCAACAGTCTCTTGCAGGTCTTATGTCCTAACTCCTAAGTCCTAACACCCACCCACCCACCCACCCACCCACTCACTTAATTATTCTTATTTGACTTAGTTAGAACTTAATTACCATAATTTACTTATTTTTGTTGTTAAGGCTTAACTAAAGAAAGCAATGGAAAGTAGAAAAGGGGGTCAATCTTCCAGTGCATCTGTGATCCCGATTACTACTAATACTACTTCATCAGACGCGGGTACAAAATGCATCAATGGCGATATGGCTTGAAAATGGGGGGTATGGAAAGATCCAACCAAAAAAATAAATAATGTATGGTGTACTTTATGTGATAAAAAAATGAGTGGGGGGATCACTAGGTTGAAAGAACATCTTACTCAGTGGTTATCCTAATGTGAGTAACGACATAAAAAAAAGAGTTCTTGCATCAATTAGTGAAAAGAATAAGAAAAAGAAAGAAAGAAATAGAAATGTAGAAATCCTGCGACAATATTCGGTTGAAGTTGATGATATTGATGAGGATGAGCAAGAAGTAGATGGAATAGAAATTATCGAAGGAGGAAGAGCACAAGCCGGAATGCCACCTCGCGGTTTGAAAAGAATGCCCACTAGTGATGTTTGCGGGCCTCTTATGCAATGTTGAAGCCCGATTATGCCAAGATAAAACAAGCCACTTTAGATAGAAAAAAATCCAATCAAAGAAAAGTTAAAGATGGCCGCTTGGAAAGAGTTTGTGGTTTGGGCATATTCGGTTGTGTTGCCGTTCAATGCCGTGCATGATAAGAACTTTCAAAAGTTTATAAATGTGGTTGGAGAGTATGGAAGAGGTAATTACCACTTCAAATTTTGAATATATTTCTCAAAGGTTAATTACTAAGTACTAACTTTATTTCTATCGTTAGTAGGCATGCCGGCTCCAAGTTATCATAATATTCATGTTACATTGTTGAAAGATGTACTTGAGGACACTAACAAGTTTGTGGATTCCCCATTCACATTGGAAGAAGAGTAAATACACTACTATGTCCGATTTTTGGACAGACGGGAAAGGGAGAAGCTTGATTATTTTTTTGGTCAATTGTCCACAAGGAACAATATTTTTTAAATCAATTGATGCATCAGAGCATGTGAAAGATGCTCAATTAATTGTACAGATGATCAATGAGGTTATAAAGGATGTCGGAGAGGAGAACATCGTGCATAACAAATATTCTATCTATATTAAGTATTAACATTATTCTACACACACACATATATATATACATACATATATATATATATATATATTAAAGTAGTGACTAATTGTTTTTACTTATACTAGTTTGTCACCGATAATGGGTCCAACTTTAAAGCTGCTGGAAAAATCTTGGAAGAACAACATCCTCAGATGTTTTGGACACCATGCTCAGATGTTTTGGACACCATGCTCAGCACATTGTGTGAATCTTATGATAGGAGATGTCGGGAGAGAAAATTTCGAAGATTAAAAGTGTGTTAGTTGATGCGAGAGCGGTAGTGGTTTATATCTATAACCACGGAAGGATTTTGAATATGATGCGAAAGCTTACTAAAAATAGGGAATGTGTTACAAGGTTCGCAACACAATTCTACACCATTCATGAGAACTGGCATCATCTCCAATATACGATGCCATGGAAAGAGCTAAAGATCAAATCATGAAGAACTTGATTGCCACCGTTAACGAAAGACGGATCACTAAAGTGTGGTCAATGATTCAAGCACGAAGAAGTGACCAACTTCATCATCCTTTGCATGCCGGTATAATTTATAAAACATTGCTATGTTTTATTTATTTAATTTTTAAAGTTAATACAATTATTGGTATTAACTTTTAGTACATTTGTAGCCGGATATTACCTCAACCCCACCATTTATTATGCACAAGATTCAGAAGTTGAGGATAATAGATACATTAAGACGGGACTATACGAGGCAATTGACCGGCTTGTGCGTGATGAAGAAGAAATGATACTTTACGGATGGAACTCAATCAATATGTCGAGACATAGTGGCAATTTGGATCTGCGGCTGCCATAAGGAATAGAGCTAAAGTAGCACCACGTAAGTATGATAATAGGATATAATATGATAATAGGATGTTAGTATGATAATAGGATATAATATGATAATAGGATGTTAGTATCATACTTACGTGGTGCTACTTTAGCTTTATTCCTTATGGCAGCCGCGGATCCAAATTGCCCCTATGTCTCGACATATTGATTAAGTTCCATTCGTAAAGTACATTTCTTTCTTCATCACGCACAAGTCGGTCAATTGTCTTGTATAGTCCCCTCTTAATGTATCTATTATTCTCAACTTCTGAATCTTGTGCATAATAAATTGCGGGGTTGAGGTAATATCCGGCCACAAATATACTAAAAGTTAATACCAATAATTGTATTAACTTTAAAAATTAAATAAATAAAACATAGCGATGTTTTATAAATTATACCGGCATGCAAAGGATGATGGAGTTGGTCATCCCATCGTGCTTGAATCATTGATCACACTTTAGTGATCAGTCTTTCATGAACGGTGCCAGTCAAGTTCTTCTTGATTTGATCTTTAGCTCTTTCCATGGCATTGTATATATAACCCATACGCGCTTCTCCTCAGTATCAACCAACCGAACAACATCAACCAACGGTGCCAATACCTGACAAGCAAGATAAATATTGTCCCAAAACTCTTGCTTAGCTATTATTCATTCAATTCTTTTTCCTATGGCTTTCTTGGCAAAGTTACTCTTCCTCCATCGTGCATAAACAAATAGCACTTGGAGATGATGCTGGTTCTCATGAATGGTGTAGAATTATGTTGCGAACCTTGTAACACATGCCCTATTTTTAGTAAGCTTTCGCATCATATTCAAAATCCTTTCATGGTTATAGATATAAACCACTATCGCTCTTGCATCAATTAACACACTTTTAATCTTTGGATTTTCTCCCCGACATCTTTCATAAGATTCACACAATGTGCTGCGCATGGTGTCCAAAACATCTGAGGATGTTGTTCTTCCAAGATTTTTCCCGCAGCTTTAAAGTTGGACCCATTATCGGTGACAAACTAGTATAAGTAAAAAACAATTAGTCACTACTTTAATATATATATATATATATGTGTGTGTGTGTGTGTGTAGAATAATGTTAATATAGATAGAATATTTGTTACCTGCACGATGTTCTCCTCTCCGACATCCTCTATAACCTCATTGATCATCTGTACAATTAATTGAGCATCTTTCACATGCTCTGATGCATCAATTGATTTCGAAAATATTGTTCCTTGTGGACAATTGACCAAAAAATTATTCAAGCTTCTCCCTTTTGTGTCTATCCAAAAATCGAACATAGTAGTGCATTTACTCTTCTTCCAATGTGAACGGAAGGAATACACAAACTTGTTAGTGTCCTCGAGTACATCTTTCAACAGTGTGACACGAATATTATGATAACTTGAAGCCGGCATGCCTACCAACGATAGGAATAAAGTTAGTACTTAGTAATTAACCTTTGAGAAATATATTCAAAATTTGAAGTGGTAATTACCTCTTCCATACTCTCCAACCACATTTATGAACTTTTGAAAGTTCTCATCATGCACGACATTGAACGGCAACCCAACCGAATATGCCCAAACCGCAAACTCTTTCCAAGCGGCTATCTTTAACTTCTCTTTGATTGGATTTTTTCTATCTAAAGTGGCTTGTTTTATCTTGGCATAATCGGGATCAAACATTGCATCAAGAGGCTCGCGAACATCACTAGCGGGCTTTCTTTTCAAACCATGAGGTGGCATTCCGGCTTGTGCTCTTCCTCCTTCGATAATTTCTATTCCATCTACTTCTTGCTCATCCTCATCAATATCATCAACTTCAACCGAATATTGTCGGAGGATTTCTACATTTCTATTTCTTTCTTTCTTTTTCTTATTCTTTTCACTAATTGATGCAAGAACTCTTTTTTTGATGTTGTTACTCACATTAGGACAACCACTCACGTTACTTCCGGTGTGAGTAAGATGTTCTTTCAATCTAGTGATCCCCCCACTCATTTTTTTTATCACATAAAGTACACCATACATTATTTTTTTGGTTGAATCTTTCCATACCCCCCCATTCTCAAGCCATTGATGCATTTTGTACCCGCGTTTGATGAAGTAATATTAGTAGTAATTGGGGTCACAGATGCCCTTGAAGATTGACCCCCTTCTCTAATTTCCATTGCTTTCTTTAGTTAAGCTTTAACAACAAAAATAAGTAAATTATGGTAATTAGGTTCTAACTAAGTCAAATAAGAATAATTAAGTGGGGGGTGTTAGGAGTTAGGACATAAGACCTGGAGGAGACTTTTGGAGGCTGAGTTGAGGGAGTCACGAGGAGCCAGGAGGCTGTGTTGAGGACGAGGAGAGGACAAGGACCTGTATGTAGGGCTGTAAACGAACCGAACGTTCAGCAAACCGTTCGGCGGGAAGTTCGTTTATTTAATAAATGAATGGACATAAACAATATTTTTTGTTCGTTTAGTTAAACGAACGAACATGAACAAGAGTCTCGTTCGTTCAAGATTAACAGTTACTGTTGAAGACCTGTGGCTGTATCAACATTCAACACAGTTGCTGTTGTGGCTGTATCAACTGGGTAAGTAGACTAGAGGAGACCGAGAAGAGAAAGAGACCAAGAAAAGAAAGAAGCCAGACCGTGAAGATGAAAAGAAAAGAAGCCAGACCATGAGCGTGAAGATGTAGGAGACCGAGAATAAGGGTGAAGATGAAGGAGACCGTGAGCGTGAACTGTGAACTGAAGAAGCCTGAGAGTTGAGTCCTAATATATGTGACCAAATAAAGAGCCCAAAAAACTAAGCCCAACATAGAATGATAGAAAAGCCTAAATATTTGTCTTATAGAGAAATCGGTATATCGGACCGATTTTTGCTTATATCGGTAAATATCGATGATATTATCGGGACTGATATTTCACCAGCGATTCTTTCCCCAAGTCCAACATAGCGCCTATATATCGACGATATATCGCCGATATATCGCGATTTTAACAACATAGACCTTAATATGGTATTTGTTTTAGTGGTCACCATCGCTAGTCGCGCCAGCTGTTAGCCACCTTCGCCACCTCCACCTTCTCTTCCACTACAACAACCTCCTCCACCACTTCCATAACCACTGAACACCACCACCACCACCACAACCACCGTCGGCCACCTACCACCACCGTCCATTGCCACTACTACTACCACCGTTGGCCACCTCCAACTCCTCTACTAAAACAACCTCTGCCACCAGCTCCACAACCACCATCGGCCTACACCACCACCGTCTATCCCCACCACCACCACTATCGTGGCCACCTCACCTCCACCATAACCACCACTACCATCATCGGCTACCACTACCACTACCCATCACCACCATCGGCTCCCACCAGTCCACTACAACTGCTCACTACCACCACATCCGCCACAACTACCTCTTCCATCACTGTTGACCACCATCACCACCACCATCCACCATCTTCACGCACCATCGTCCACCAATCACCAATGTCTCTACCTCCACAGCCATTGTTGTTACAAAATCTTCATCGTGCCTCCGCCAATTGATAAAGATCTTCTAAACCGAATAAAACATAATTTCTTCATTGTACGAATCGGGTTTTTTCGAACTACCATCAATTATATCAATTTTTTCGTTCAAACTTGATACTATTATATATGTATGTATTTATGTATATGAAAATTGTGTAAAATGGTTTACCAATTAAATTATTAAATTATTTACGTCGTTTATGTTAGTTATAACTATTATATCATCAAATAACTTTTGGGGGCATCTTGTCTAGTTTTGTCCCGTCCAGTCCTAGTCATACCAAACACCAGACAGAAACTTGTTTTGTGCAATCCTGTCCCGTTCAAATCTGTCCAGTCCTATCCTCTTGTCTTATCCAGTTCAGTCCAATCCAATCATGTCTGTGTATCAAACACTACCTATAGGATTCTCTTGCCATATGATAGATAGAACAAAGGAATACTCCTGTACAATAGAAGCTTCACATAGTACTTGTTTTTTGGAATTGTTTTTATCACTGGTACTTATATATCTTCTTATTAGTGGGAAATATGGCCATTACTCATTGCTAGAATCTTATTGTCAGTCTTGCCTGAGCTGTGACAAATCAGTAGCAAGGTTAGTGTATAGTATGCGGGTGTGCTAGAAGTTGATCCATGATTGTGTTTCTGATATAGATTCAGAGCCAAACTTAGGGGATGTTTACCAAATGCTGAACCCCTCTTACAGACTCTTACCCAGTAAGAGGCGAGGTTGTTTACCTTAAACTCTCACTGACACCTGATGTTGACGAGATACTGACTCATTAAAGAAGGAAATGCTCTCTTGCTCAGTCAACGCTTTCCCGGACAACACTCTTACTGGCGAGCGCTTACCCAATTTTTGTTGGTAAATGGCCCTTTTGTTTAATCAGTTGTAGAGATTTAGTTGCTTTCTTTATCCCATGAGAATTGTGACATTTGACTTGGGACATAGTTCAAAGTTACTGAAGAATGTGAACCATACAAGTTAGAAATGAGATTTTAAATCAAGTAGATGCTCAAGTCTTTTTCTTACTATTGTTAAATATATCATTATACCCTTCAACAATGGCAAAATAAGGAATCTTGTAACCCAAATCAGTACAATCTGTTTATATGTAATGATTAGATGGAGAAGTTATCACATAAAAAAGAATTCTACAAAAGGGAAATGTTGCAGTTTACATTCCAATAAGAAATGTTGCAATTTTTATACGATTGAGGTAGTATAATATTTATTCGAATGACTAATTTCCTTTTTGTGCAACACCTATATATGACCCCCTTTCTCTTGTACATAATGATTACAGGTATACATAAGCTACATATATAAACCCAAAATCGTGCAGCATTATATTATCGAGTGATTGATATATGTAACCATTGTACTCAGCTTGCAACTTCTTGTTGCAAAAATCTCAAAAAATTCATACTTAGGGAACTTGTATAATGGTTTTTGAAGCTAAAGTGGAAATGATTATAATCTTAGGGGCCGTTTACCCAAATGCTTACCCGGTAAGCGCTTACCAATAGGAGTCAACACTATAATTTATTTAGATGCGTAAGATTTTAGTACACCAAAGCATATCGAATGCAACAATTTACTAGGTAAGCGCTTACCTGGGTAAGAGTTGTCATCCTCACTTACCGGGTAAGACTCTCCATCCTTCTCATCGCTCTTACCCGGTAAGATTCTTGGCCCTTCTCATGTTCATCCGATGAGGAAATTTATGCGTTAAGCACTTACCAAGTAAGTGTTTAGTAAACGGTCCCTTAGTTGAGGTTATTATGATACTTTTTAGAAGTTTTAACTATTTAACAGGCCGTATAAGTTGTAGGATTAAATATTGAATTTTTGGATTCAAATTCGAATTTGGTGTTATTTTTCATATTTTCTGCAGGAGCTTGGACCCTGCTTTGCAACTAGAGCTGAAGCAGTATCTGATCTCCAGAGGAATTGGGGAAAGTCTGACCAGCTTCCTTCTATTCCACCTACACAAGAAGGAGCAGAATCAGTACATAAAGTGGTTGCAGAAGTTGGAAGCCATGGTGTCAAAAAGCTGACTGATTCTGGTCTAACTATATCCCGGTAAGAAAAACATGCCACTTTATGAGATCTCCGCTAGTGTTTCTTCTTTGATCCGATGGTGGCTCATAGAGTAAGATTTTAAATTCCAAGACTTTAAAGGTTTAACGTTGACTGGTTTGTTTGACCTATATCAAAAGCGTGAACTTTCTGGCCTTAGATTATGAAATTTGCAGGCTATCTAATATTCTTTGGTTAGTGCTAGCCCATATCAATACTGCTTACCATGGCTATATAATTCAAAACATGTACCTTTTTCCATCATCGGCTCCGATGGTCCCTATTGTGATGAACAAATAACAAGGCATTAGGGTGCATTTGGTACACAAACGAAACTGGAGTTAACTGATTTAATGGCTGGGAGTGAGATAGGCGGGTGGAAGAATTGTGCAAGGCTTTAGGGTTTTAATTTGACAAGGTCATAAGGCGAGGGTCTTTATGGAAACAACCACTCTACTTCTTGAGATAGAGGTCAGGTCTGCATACATCCCACATCTTGGTGACATATATGGGTTTTTTTTATTTGTTAGGTTTATATGTGGTCCTTAATTATACGGTAATATTTCAACAAATTTACACACGTTTGACTGTTGCTTAACTTTCAATTCTTTGCATAATCCACTTGAGTCGCATGATTCCACGAAAATAACAAATGGTCATGTCGTATCCAGGTTGTTGATAGATGGGATAGATATTGTTAATAAAAACCTTAAGTGTGTTTAATTAAACGTTTTTGTGAGTTTTGAAGTCAACGGATCGTACAATTGAGTCGACAAGGTCTTTTGTCATCCTATTATTAATCACCTTCTAATTCTACTTTCTCCGTCCCAAAATAATTGTCCACTGTTTTTTTAATTTGTTCTACTTTCAAAAGTAAGTGTCTATTTTCATTACTACCTTAATCATGAGATTAAGAAATTCAGTACTCTTTATTATTATTGATAGTAGATTTGTCATTTAGTTAATTAAGAAGGGTAATATTTACATATTTTAAAAAACGATGTGTCTTATTTCGTCGTGGTCGTTTGTTTTAGACGATGAAGGTGATGTCATGCTGATTGATGCGATCACGTTTGTTATAAGCATGTAAAATGTGGCTAATTTGTTATTGTGGTCGTCATTGTAGCTTGTAACCATCCTATGATTGATATGATATCATGGATCATATGCTGCCTTAATCATATCAAGGGATGGTGTTGACTATTGAGGATTGACTCACTACTTGAGTTTGCACAATACGAGTTCATCATCACAACACTGAAATAAATAAACAGTAGTGAGTTTATTACATTGTATTCAAGTATGAAATATAAATTAGGAGTTCTTTTGGTTTGTTTTCGTTTTGTAAACAAGTTGCAAGATTTCTTGGCCAACGTAGTACCTTTTTTCTTGTATATTATTCATGGTTTTCCCCAAATTATTCATAAATAACTTGTTATGGCACGTATGGCGTAAAAGGCTTGGTTTGCCCTCACGTTAAGCCTTGTGGCTTTACTTTAAGGCTTGCTTGGCTTCCATTATAACACGTTATGGCGCGTTATTTTGCAGGGTGTGAAACCTTATAATATATAATTTATGGGATAAATAATAATTGTACATGAGACTTAAGACTTAAATAAACATAAAAATGAAATTTAACAAGAAGAGTCTAAACAGGTAAATACTTAGGTGGCGTTTGGTTCGCAGATTATGGAGAAATCTGATGGAATTGGAATGTTGAATTCTATTGACCAAATTTCATTTCCTCGTGTGGTTCATTTTTTTTCACGAAAGGAATCTTCAAAATTCTACAAATTCCACAAATAAATGAATTTAACATTCTTTAGCAACTACATGATATTTTGATGGAATGGATCTCTATCTTCATTATACCAAATATGCTCGTAACCTAATATACTCTAATCTCATAAAATTCAATATGACCATCGTCGACCATCTCCGACCACCATCGATCTGAACCACCGTCGACCACCACCACTGACTACCACCAATCTGAACCATCGCCGACCACAGATCTGAACCACCGTTGACTACCACCAATCTGAACCACCGCCGACCACCACCGCTAACTACCACCAATCTGAATCACCGCCGACCACCACCACCGACTACCACCGATCTGAACCACCGCCGACCACCACCATCGATCTGAACCGTCGACCACTACCACCAATCTGAACCACCACCGACTACCACAGATCTGAACCATCCCCGACTACCACCAATCTGAACGACCGTCGATCACCACCACCGACTACCACCGATCTGAACCACCGCTGACCACCACCCCGACTATCACCAATCTGAACCACCGCTGATCTGAACCACCGCCGACCACTACCGATCTAAACCACCGCTGATCTGAACCACTGCCGACCACTACCAATCTAAACCATCATCTGACATCACCGATCTGAACCACTGTCGACCATCGCCATTTGAACCACAACGGACCACCATCGATCTGAACCACCGCCAACTACTACCAATATGAAGCACCGCCGGTCTAAACCATCATTGATCATCATCGATCTGAACCATATCCGACCATCGTCACCTGAATCACAACAGACCACCACCGATCTATATCACTGCCAACCATCGACGACTACCATCGATCTGAATCATCGTCGGACACCATCAACCACCATCGATTTGAACAAACACCACCGCCACCGCCTATCTGAACCACCACTGACCACCTCCATTTGAACCACTGCAGACCACCATCGATCTGCATCATCATCGGACACCGTCGATCACCATCGATTTAAACAACCACCACCGCCACCGCCTATCTGAACCACCGTTGACCACCTCCATTTGAACCACTATCAATCTGAATCACTGCGGACCACCACTATCTGAACCACTGTGGACCACCATCGATCTGAACCACCGTCGACCACCGTGTATTTAGTAACGTCGTTTGTCTTATGGTTATATTTGGGTTGTGTATTTTATATTGTTTTACATATTAAATAATTATTTTATTAAAATATTTTTAGTTTTAAAAAAATTTAAATTTTCAAAAAAGGGCATTGTGGTCTTTTATCAATATTTTATTCCAATTCTAAAGCTATATTTTGTGAACCAAACAGACAGATTCCAATTTCTTAACAGATTCCAATTTCTTAACAAATTCCATTCCAATGTCTGCCAACCAAACATGTGGTCAAAATTGACAACATTCCATTCCAATTCCTTCAAAGTCAAATTCCGTTAACAGATTCCATTCCATCCAAAAACATTCTGCGAACCAAACGCCACCTTCCTCTCATTCCATACACAAATTTAAGAGTCGAACACAAATTCTTAGAAAATTGAAGTAGTGAATTGAGATTCAAAAGATTTAATCTTATATTTGCACCTTAGATATCATTTTCTATAAACTCTATATATTTAGCATCAATGATTCTTTTTTCTTTTTTAGTTTTATTACTTTAATTTGTTCCATTTTATTATTCAAAACACTAACATACAAGTGTGTGTCTACACACATATATATACATATATATATATATATATATGGGGGTGTGTGTATGTATGTATATATATATATATGTGTGTGTGTATGTATATATATATATATGTGTGTGTGTATGTATATATATATATATGTGTGTGTGTGTGTGTATATATACATATGTGTGTGTGTATATATATGTATATTTAGGGGAGGGATACTGATAACTCTCAATTTGTGAGAGTTATTTGTTGTTCAATATCCTTATGTTATTGTGTCTTTTGTATCCATTTTGTTCCTATCCTGTATTTTTGGTTCAAAATATGTTAAGAGCTGATGAAATGTCAATAATTTGATTATTTTCTGAAAAACCATTGTTGTTGGTATAATGCCCACTTTCTGCTCACATTCTTCCTATGACATATTTTCCTCAAGACGGATTTGGAGAAAATTCAAATACTGGTTCTCCTAGGTATTAAAGGGATTTAATTCTGAAGTTAGATCCGAAATTCTTGAATTATTTAGAAGAATGGACCTTGTTGGATTAAAAAACGTCTTAAAAGTAATCCTACCATTATTTTAATGAAAATGGCATCATTACCATTTCCTTAATTTAAGGGTTAGGTAACTTTACCTTTTTCAACCATTCAAAAAAGGTGACAAGGCCTGGAAAGTAGACAAGAAGTGATGGGGGGTCTTTACCCTCTAGTCAATGAAGACTTTCTTCTTTGGGCGAAGAGTTTGTCCGGTTCTCACTTTTTCACTATATATTGATGTTTTTCTCTCATTTGGAATACATCAATACATCAACAATTCAGCCAAGCAACCTTGGCGCATTCTCTCTCAAGCTCTAGAGCAGTAGAACAAGTTTAATTTCTGCATTTAATTTTATTTTCGTACTTAGTCTTTAATTCTCGCCACTGTGCATTGTATGCCCCCTGTGGGCAACAGTTTAAGTGAAATTTCATTTCAAATATTTCTTATGCATTTTTCTTCTTCTGTTTCCTCTATGTTTTATAATTTTATTATGAGATAATCACCCCTTTGGGTGTGGGTGTGAGTCAAACTTAAGAATTTGAAGGTGCACTTGGGTGTTGCCATTTTTATTAATTCTTAAGCTTGGTCATTTAAGTCGGGACTTAAGCTCAACGCAGATAAGCTGATCACTTTGAAGTGTTAATATTAGATCATTGATCCAGAAAATGGACGGATTTGAAATACGGCTTAGATGATGCATAAAGATTTGAGAGAGTCTTTGATAATCACGTAGAGATACGGATTCTGCATGTTTTTAGCTAATGTTCAAATATTAGTCGAGTTTATATTACAAAGAGATTTGAGTATAAATATTTAGACTAGTGGAACCATATATCTTTTTATCTATTAGCTAATTCGGCAAGTTTAAGATTGATAAAACTGGATGCTTTGTGGGCATTCTGTGGGCACAGTATATAAGAATTCACTTTCAAGAGATTGAAGTTCTTATATAAGTCCCATGAGTTTCTGACCAAACTGTTCTTGCAATTTTCTTAAGGGAAACTTACACCCATACCCATCTTTTAATTTCAAAGGTTTATTTCGTATTTTAAAGCTTTGCTCAAACAAAACTCAACTTTTATTCTCAAACCGAAACATGCTCAAGAAGTTCATGAAACTCTCTGATTCTCAGTAAGTCCAGTCCCTGTGGAAACGATCTTGGTACTTTACCACTTTATTACTTGAAGCGATCATAGTGTCGGCGTACACTTGCACCGCCACTGTGGGGACTTTGTGCCCACTGTGTGAACACCTACGATTTCGCCACATCAGATACTTTCCAAACCAAGCCACTTGTACAAACCGTGAAAACTGTCGATTTCTTTCTTTATTTTAGTGAAAAACTTTCATGAGATTGTTTAATATGATGAACTTGTTTCAAATATTCATTTCCAATAATTATGAACATCATCATCTTTATTTTATTAATTTTAGTAAACAAATTTTATCAAAATGAAAAATAATGAAACAATTTAATTTTTGTGTAGAAACAAAAATATATGAAACATTTCATCATGAAATGAATTTTATCATATTAAACAATTTCATGAATTTTTTCCACTAAAATAAACATTAAAATCGATGGTTTTCACGGTTTATACAAGTATTTTGTTTTGCAAAATATCCCTCCTCTGTATGTGTATGTGTGTGTATTGCCTCCTTAGGGTACATCTTGAAAAACACTCTAGCATCGATGTAACTTGTAAGGCTTAAGGCTTGACCTTACTGCCATGTTATACTTCATGTCATTTAGAACCTTGATATTATTAACCATTTTTGTATACTCTACATTGCACTTACGTTCTCGTCTCATTGATGTTGATTGTCTTATAACTTTGTTCATATATATGTATTTGTATTCACATATAAACATGTACTTATATATGTGAAGAATATTGTTACTTTGTGTGCTTATATGTTTATTCATATATGAATACGTATATATTCGTGTATGATTTTGATTTATGTTGTTGGGTTTCAAACAAGGGAAAGAGTGCATTAACTTGTGCGTTTGAACCAAAATGGATATCGCAAATAGTTACTCAAATAGAATTTCAATGTGTTGAGAAGTAGATCTATGCCAAATAGAATTCCAATGTGTTGAGAAGTAGATCTATGCCTAATCTTTTACGGGAAGCATGAAATCTCCTTGTGATCATGTATGTTCAAATGTGGTGACTTCGGGCTATCTAAGGCAGGTGGTCGTCCTGGGATTAGTCGGCTCGCATAGCGGGTTGGATATCCAGGTTAATAAAAAAAATAATTCTTAAAAGAATTATTTGTTCTTAATCTTTGGATATTCAGTCCCCATATCCTGTCTGCATACCAAACATTATCTTAAGACCCATTTGTTACCATATCTTGCATAGTTTTTTCCACTTCATCGAGCGAAGAATTTTTTATG